AATAGGTATAGGTACCTATACTTCAAAGATGTGATATTGTGAAAACTTGTATATTACCTAACTAACTAACTTAAATAAGAAATATATCATTTTTCTGCAACCGACACAAAAGCCGTCCATTTTGATACCAAAATTAGCTCTTAAATTGACGTTTCTATTACTGACACAAAAATAGGTATGTTGCTCTGATGCTAGGCAACATATTTAGTTCCTAGGAGCTAAAGTTGAAATATGGTTCCTAGGAGCTAAAGCTCCTAGGAACTAAAAAGGATGTACTGGACGTCATCAAGAATAAACAACATTGTGACGGTTGGTTATTTGGGTTGAGACGCATACCTGATTTGTTCCGATTTCAGCAGATTTGGCATTTCGATCATACCCATGCTGGAGATATAAATACACCTTATCATAGTTTAGTATTGGAATTATAAATATCTCACTTAAGTATTTTTGTTTTGATCAGGGAAGCCTTCAAGATTCAAATACTTGCTTGATCTGTATTTCATTCGTTATTCTCGGGCGATGGATAACTTGGTTTTGAATAATCACGGCAAGCAATAGTTTTTTTGTCTCGAACAACGATATTGTTTAGCTTCATTTGATTATCAAGTCAAACACAGTGTAGTATGGAGATGAATAAATAATCACTATTATCATTGTTGATATGCTCACTAACCTAACATTTTCCACGTCTTTTGTTCCTATAGCTGGCACTGGCGCGGTATTTGCCATTAGAGAACCTGGTCCATACACAAATATGTCACTCTGTGGTTGTATTTATATTGAAACTATAATTCGAACATCCTAGAAAACCTAACCTGCTGTTAATGCAGGTAGAATATTTTCACCACATGGATTATTTAATATTTGTTGCATTGCATACATATGGCACGGCATTGGTATGGTTACTTCACATGTTTATTCGAGTTAATTGTTTCGGTTGCAGAAAAAATAGCATGTTTCATTCGGATCAAAAGTGACTTTGTTCGACTCGCAAATTTTGCTTTCGCTCGGCTTCGCTAAACGCTCCGCCTCGCAAATGCGAAATTGTCAAACAAAGTGCTGTCACTTTTGATCCTAATAAAACAATCTACTATTAATGTTACCTACCTGACTTCTATACGTTTTCTGAACAGTGAATATGCATCACACAATATACCCTCTATACCACTACCATTACTAAAATGAGGCTTCACCAGTCATAAAAATATGCCCTAAAAAACAGAAACCAGAAGGATTTCATACATTCCGATTCCAGCAGCATTATAAACACTTAAATAAATTTCCTTACCGTAAAGCCTATAGATCACCTACCTCCTACCTGCAATGCAACTATTCATTGCAACCTGCAGGCCCGTATTGGGCCAACGGTTTACCTGGAACATCCTCTGGTAAAAATCAAGTAGGTACTCATAACTTTTTGAAGTGATAACTTCTATAGGCCCGTTAGGCACTTTCTGGAATGGGAGTAAACCGACATACGCGTCACGGAAGCCTGCGTACCATAAGACCGGTATATGTATATATCCACAGATTAACAAACCTTATATATCTTGATATGCACCATCGACGGCGGGTGGTGGGGTTTCTTGCGTGTCTCTCGGGTCACAGCGAAAGGAAACGAAAGAAGGAAAAGGAGTCTAATAAAGAAGACGGGAATCTAAAAGGCGGGGGGACTATTTTTTTTAGTTTCTTCAACATAATCATCACTCAAATACCTTTCAATTTCATATTTTTCAAAATTTTCCGGTAAAAATATGATTTCATGAAAAATCTACCACTTTTTATTCCAATAAATATGCACGGCACTGTCCGAAATTATGTTTGTCTCTGAAATGAAACTGATGATATCAATAGTTATTCATACCAGTCCAAATTTGTCAAGAATCGTCCGATTAATAGCTGAGATATAGAGAGGCGCTGTTTTCAATGTTCTCTATACCTAAGTCTGATAGTTTTCAAGTAACGATGATGTTTTCTCGATATTGAGGGTATAATAAGGTAGTAAGTATAGGTAGGTACTGTACTTGCAGATTGCCATGGAAATGAGAAATGTTATTTGTTATCACAAAATATGGGCGGCAATCCAAATTATTCAATGTAGCGAAATAGTGATCAGAATTTGCCGTATATTAAACGAGATTCGAGAAATATCCTCACTTGCATTTTTTTCATCTCTCGGAGCTCACGAAAGGAAATTCCTATAAGGTTCGAAGAACATCGTGCATCCCTAGGGAGGTCTTGGAGTTTTTTTTAACTGTTGGAGGTTACAAGTTCTTGGGAATACCTCCATTGGCAAAGAATTCGAAAAGCTTTGCGCCGTTCTATAGACGCGAACTAGTTTTGGTAAAGTGTTGTTCGACATTTCCAAGGTTGTCAACGAAATGATGTGCTGACTGGGCCTGTCGGGTTAATCTGAGTGGTATTGCTTAGGTATTGCTAATGATGGAATGATACCTAGCAGATATTTATTCTGAGGAACATTTCCCGGGAATTATTTATAGAAAAGTGATAGGTCGCCGACTTCTCTACTATTTATTTTGACCCATTATGTCTACCTGAATCTATGGTTTTTATGAATAATAACCTAAAATTATTTTTTGTAATTTCAGCACATAAGGTTCAACAAAATATGCATCAGTTGCCTGTATCTATCGTAAAATCAAATTTCAATTCACAAGGCATTCGACCATGAAAAAAAAGTGGGACCCGACGGATCAAGAATGGGCTGCTTATATCACAAAAAATTTTTATTCCATAATTCGATAGAACTCGCCCAAACTAGCTCACCACTGCAAACCGTTTCTTGCTGTGAGCTCCCTATACGTTTTATAAAAAATGATTGAAATCCCCGATTTTTCGGACCTCTGAAAACGATACGATGATGTGACGTCAATACCCTAATACTGAAACAAGACTATTCCAGACAGAGATGAATGATACATGATTTCTGACAGAGTGAATTAGCGCGAGATCACAGTTGAAAGAATTAATATATCAGTTATTGCCTCAGTCTCCGTCGGGTGTTTGTCTACGTCATAAGAGGGTCCGTTTTCAGAAGGTAGGTACTATTATTTATGTCCAAAAATAAAACATTCCAGTTAATTTTTCGATCGAATTATATCGTCAATCATTATTTATGTATGAAAGGATCATGATAAACATGGTTTGAGTTAAAAGTTCTACTAAGGTGTGTACGCTGTACACGCCCATTGTCGGAAATGCCAGAATTTCACCCCAATCCGGTACTGGCAACCTGCAACTACGTGCAATCCCTTTCTCTTTTCATTTCTTCTTCTGGTGCCTCAATGTGTGCCTCAATCCACTGTAAAGATTGGTGCCAAAGGACCATTAAAAGACCACACCACCGATTTCGACCAATCAGATGTGGCTATTTTTCACCACCCGGTAATTACACGTGTCGAGGTCGGCAGACTCGTTATCCTTCTGCAACCCAAATCAGTGTTGCCAAACTGAGAGATTCAGCTTCGATTCCAAGATATTCAGTAGATGTCAGAATAGATTTTTTAAGCGAACCGTTTGAAAAAAATATGGCATCTCAATGCATTACTTCTCGAAATTCATTGGTTTTCTTTGTTGCTAAGGAAATATTCCCAAGAATTTAAAACTTCAAAAAGTAAAAGAATTTCAATACCACTATACCTTTTTTCCTTATCCTTGCTATAGTATATCCAATATCAATTGCAGAATAACCCGCACTGTGCGGCGTCGGCGTGTTTGAAGTTTTCTTTGAAGTGACTGCAGGTGCGGCACAAGATTCTGCTATTGTTTTTGGATAAACACAAACATGTTACTCATGTAAAGTGGTTAAATAAAACACGATGTTCCTCGAATGGGGATTTCCTTTGGTGCGCTTCAAAAAAATATGTGCGTTAGTGATAACTTCTATATGGTATGTAACTTATTATGATTTTTGGAACAATTTTTTTTTAGATTATGCCGGTCTTATGGTACGCGGCATCCGTGACGTGAGTGTTCGTCTTACTCCCATCCCAGAAAGGACCAAACATGCCTATGGAATCTAATCACAAAGCAGTTTTTCAGAATGGTTTTACTTCAATTTCAGTTTCAACATATTTGATATTTGAGTATATTTTACCGCCATCCCCCTAAACTAGGTGTCCCGAAATTACATAGAAAGATTTCAACCACATATATATTCCAGGAACAGAAATAGAAAAAATGCTCACATAAACATGAGCCTAGAAATGGCTAGTTATAGAATATACGAGAGAACACGAAAAAGTCAACTGAGTAGAAGAAGGGTCCATATAGTCATCGTATATTTATTTAACCACACCAATACGAAATTCTCCTTCTCTTTTGAAATAATAAGTTTTTTCCGTTTCCTGTAAAATATGTGTTTTTGCACTTGGACCCTTCTTCCACTCACCAATTCGTTTATAGGTATGAGCTTTGTTTACTAATTTTGTTCCTAGAATCTGTGCTTGAAATCTTTCAATGTAATTTCGGGACACCCTGTATAGTTTGAAAACATGATCATAATGAAGGACATAGGACAATAACGGCCTCCAAACGGAGTCAGAAATACGTTTTATTGATATTTATTACAGAACAGTGTATCAGTTTCGTCAAATTTATTTTCTGCAACTCTGTATTCGAGATTAGCGATTATTCTCGAGTGGATGAAGAAGCCCTCGTAATGCCTGCCTGGGATCAACAAATTCCTTGTTGATCTGAGATAAATCCCAAAAGCGTTAAATCACCTGGCAACAGCGCATCGATATTGACGTATGACGCACTCGCTACTCGCTTTACGACGATAACAACTGCGAATGTTTTCATTTTTCATTCAGTAGACTCTGAAACGTTAAAGTTAACTGCACGCACAAATCGCTCTCTATAAATAAATTGCGAGAATAAATTTATCTAAATAACAGGATAAGAAGTGACAGTTCATTAGCTGAAAAACATCAGTGATAAACCTTGTGATACTAGTTGTTAGTAAATACCCGAAAATGAATCTTTCGTTCGCCGGTTGTGGGTTTTTGGGCATCTACCATGTGGGAGTTGCCTGCTGTTTTCGAAAATACGCTCCCCACCTGTTGCTGGACAAAATATCGGGAGCTTCCGCTGGGGCCATCGCTGCTTGTAGTTTGATTTGCGATCTACCCATTGGTGAGAAAAACTATGTTTCATTAAATAATATTAGGCTGTATCAGTATTACTTTGTGAAACAAATAAATTTTGGTCACTAGTATTTTTTATTACCAGTGTTGACTCGTCCATTCTATTGTATCGATGGTAAGAAGGATTTAATAAAATACAATAATTGTACAGGCTGTCCCATTTTCGATGTCCTTACGGCATACCTACCTATATCTCACTAAATCTTGAAGCTCGTCTTGAAGATAAGGATTTGCGATTTTTACGAACGGTGGCTGCTTTTATGTGCTTTTATGAAATTAACATTTTGGGATCCCCCTAGGGGTAAACTGCGGTCAGAATTGTGAACACCAAACTTAATTCCACAAGGAATTCCAGCTGTTAAAGCACTTGAATATTAATGCACTTCATTCAATGAATTCCAATAAACTCCAATGAATTCCAAGGAAATCTTAAGAATTCCAAGGAAATCCAAGTAATTCCAGTTGTGTACACCAGAATTATATCGCACTTCACCCAAAGAATTCCAAGGAATCCCATGGAAATCTCGGGAAATCCAAGGAATTCCAGTCGTTTGTAGAAATATACTGCGCTTCTACCAAAGAATTCCAAGGAAATCCAGGAAATTCCAAGGAGTTCCAAGGAATTCGAGTTATTCTTTGTACACCAGAATTCAACCGCGGTTTTTCCCTCGGTACCCCCCCCTATCTCACCTATCTTTCAACTTATATACCTAGGAGAATTACGGAAAATTAAAAAATTTGACTTTTTCATGTTCATGTTTTTATCTCGGTTTTTATCCTCGACTTTATCCATCAGTGATCTCGATGGAGGTCTTGATTGAAACCTACATTTCAGAATAATTATTATTCTCGGATTCATTCATGATATTATTATAGGTATGGAGCACAATATGATTTTCCGTGATTTTCACCATAAATATCAATTTCCTTTGGGGCGACACTGAAATAATTACGGTGAATCTATATATACGCCAAAATAGTTATTTTTGTATCTAGTTCGCGAAATGCTACTCGTGACTATTTTTTAGTTCTCGATCACCAAAGCATAGATTAAAGAGTCCCCAAAGTAGGTATTTTGCAGTTTTGTACACGAGTTGTAAACATTTTTTTTCTACAAACCTCAAAAAACACTTCTAAAATAACGAGTAAAATAAGCTCGAAAATAATAAGTAATATACGAGGTAATATAACCATGCTAAGCTTGATATATAAAATAGTGAGAAATTGATTTACAAAAAAATCAATGATAGGCTCAAGAAAGAGCCTCAATATAGCCTTAAATTATGATGTACTCAATATCCTTATATTCCTTCTATTTTAGATTTCGCAAAACTTGTGCGAAAAAAACCACAATGGGCTAGGATAAGAGCCTTGAATTAGCCTTAAGTTATGGTATAATTAGTTTTGTGATTGAAATTTTATTAACGACGTTTTTTGAATAGGGTAATGGCCGAGCAAAAAATTGAAAAATTCAAAGTGGTGTTTTGTTTGAACTCTCAAGAAGCCTTTGGTAATTATTGTTAAACATTCACTTATTCAGAAATATAAGATGCGAGATAGGATGGGTTTTTGCTCCATGGAGGACTCTATTGAGGACCATAATATGGAGGTTATAATACAAAAATTTCATATATTATAGTTCACATGCATTGCGCGATATATACACTTGGAATGTCAATTTTCAAGCAATGACAGCTCTGTCTAATAGATGAGCATTACTTGACAGGAAATCAGATGGCTACAAGACGAAGAAATCGAAAATGCCGCTGTTATCTATTATAGCCGTAGAAAAATTATAGTGTATAACTTGCACGGAATGTCAATTTCCTACTCGAATGATTGCAGCATTCGCCTATGGCTCATGACCTTTGGCTCATGCTACAAACTTCATTCCGTGCTCGTTAAACAATATACTATTTTGTACATACCTACCGGGTGTAGCAATTAAAGCGTGCTTTTTCCATGACATTTGCAATACCCTGTACAGTGTAATAGTTTCACTATCGAGTTATAATCGAAATCACACTTTAGCCTTATATCTTTATCAACATTTATTTTTTGGATTCACTCCATTATCTTCTTTATAAGTCGAGAAACACCTTTATAGCATGATTTCATGGAGAATTAATATCCAAATTATAACGGAAGTTTGTTCAATTCCCTGTTTAATCTATGGGAGAAAAAACAGAATGCGAAGTCGCAAGTTAAACGGATAGGTCAGTAGCGAGTATTTCCGCCGCGGACACGAAAAACTTCTTGGCAAGGACGGTCTATGCCCAAAATAGGACACCTACTGTCATGTTGGTCCAGGTCTTCCCAAGTCTTCCCAAATTTGAATCATCAACAAACAAATCAACAAAAATCCCTACACTATTATGTGGTTCTAAAATTACCGATATGTTCCTTTCAGCTGTAAGGCTTCCATTTATGATCACAAGTTCCATGCGAACAGTCAAAGAATTGCCTTCCCAGACCATAGCCTACTACTTCCGTGCTTATAATGCCAATTGAATTCAATAAAATGACGTTATGCTATATAAAATTGTGTTTCTTGAGAAATAGGAAAAATGGAGTGAATCCAAAAAAGGAATGTTGCTAATTCCGTTTCTATCATAATGGTGTCGTCGATTACTTTCTAATTTTTCGACCTTTTTGTAAATACTTGACGAGTATAGCACTTATGATGGCTCTTCGACCGAAAGCGCTTTGCGATTTTATAATAACTTTTACACAAAATACAAAATCTTCATTTTATTGAAAAAAGATAAGTCTGAAGTGTACTTTCAATTTCAACTTGATAACGTAACTCTTACACTCCACAGGGTATTACAAATTTTATTAACGCTATAATAGCTACACCCGGTAATCATAAAAAAGAGGTTCTTATGCGAATACAGTTTGCACACCAATGTTCAGGGGGAATACATAACCTGTCTTTCGAAACAAAAAACGTCCAAATCGGACTAGGGACTAGTAGTTTTGACGAGTTTTGACGAAAATGTTTCCTAAACTTTTGGCAACTTTTTGATAGTACGTTCATATCTTGGAGAAGTGTATATTTCACGCACTATTTCGGGCATTCTGTTTTTATGCTGTTTCGTTATTGCTCATTAAGCAAGGTTGCTCGCAAGGTTGTCAAGTCACCAATTATAATCAAGTTATCAAAAATATGTTAGAGTCCTGTATTAGTTTTAGTTCATTCTCGACTTTTTCGAGCAACCAGCATGTCCAAATATTTCTTATTCTCCATAACAAAATATCATGTACGCAGGGGCGGCGAGTGCATGGGGGCATCGGGGCCAATGCACCCATGTAGGCAGTGGGTATGGGTGCAATGCACCCATTGGCCGAAACAGACGTATAAAAAAACAAATTAGATACGGGCGAAATGAGCACTTGTAAATATTGCACATTGTTGCTGGACAAGTATAGGTAAACAACCATGCGAACCGTATATTCGATTCATGTGCATCCAGGGTTTGACACTGAGCACTGTGCAGATATTCCGATTTAAATTTTAGACATTATGACATCACAGGTTACAAGTGCCAGTTTGGAAAAAAATAGAAGTGGCTAATGAATCCATTGATAATACAGTCAGTAGGAATACCTTTGCAATAAATTAGCTGGGGTTACTTGCTAATTTTTTCGAATCCCGAAGTTTCTCTATTCCATTTTTTGAGATATGAGAATTATTAAATCTTATTTTATTTTTGTAGAGATTGAATTTTCTAATATCGTTTTAAATTTTGAGTTATGTTCACTTTTTTCAATGGTGAAAAAAAAATTCTTCTATTTCTCATCCTTGTTCATATTAATATATCAACCATAAACTCGAAACCCGATTAGTCACAAAATATTATATATTGGTAGAGGTGTTTCACACTTGATGCAAAATAAATAATGCTTTGATCTATCTTGAAATTTGATGGCATTTGACCTTGAACCATGAAAAATTTTCGCCTGCGGCGCATAATTTTGTCTTACCCTGACCCCTCAATTTTGGCACCCATTGGACAAAACAAAACTCGCCGCCCCTGCATGTACGGTAACATTGTGCTGAATGCTAAGAAATGACAAGACCACGCCCACAAGTAGTGCGCCGTGGTTGTCACGTTCACCGTTTGAAATGTCCTCTAGTGTGAATGAATATAATTATTATTTACGCAAATTTATTATTAGCAATAAGCCACAAATCATAAGGGAATAATTCGAGACAACTGAATTTTTATTGCTAATTAGGAATATTATTAATACTCAATTGAGAATTTATGAATTATCGAATAACTAACATTTCTGAAGTTCCCAATCATATTTCAACACATGGCAACTGTGCTATGGTCTGCCACTATTTACGAAATCGTGGCGTCAGTTTTTATACTGGCGGTAAATTCATGGCCGTTTGAAAATTACCGTGGCATTTTGATGATTGTAGCACCAAAAAATTTAAAAAAAATATGAAATTGGAAGGTATTTGAGTGATGATTCTATTCAAGAAATAAAAAAAATATTAGTCCACTCGCTTATTGCTCTATTGCTATGAAGTTTTGGGGCATAGAGTCCGCGCAGGTGGACCTCCTCCAGGACTGAGTCTAGGTACAATGGCCTTGAAAAAAAATATCATGATAATTGTTAATCCTCCTAATGGGTAGTCAACTTCATTTTCATCTCGATTTTCATTCTTCATAGGCTGTCTGTAGGTTACCTATACCTCCGTGATTCCGTTTCCGTTATGGTTGGACTTCATCTCATCGTATATCATCAAACTGCTTGTTTATGTAAAGTGAAATCGAGAAGATAGGGTGCTTAAAATAACTTCCAAATAACATAACAAACATACTAGTTATTTTATTCACAGCTGTTGATAAGATGGTGATAAGACTATATTGCGCCTTATTTGATCTAAAAATTACTAGAAAAATTATTATATCACAATAATAATGTCATTGTTGTTTTGAAATCAAACAAAGTTGGTAAAGTGGATACCAA